TTATCAGAATTAGTTAATAAGTACGTAACAAACCTGGCAACAAGAACTATTATATTAAGTGCTCTTTCTTTCCAAATCCTGTTTGTAAAGCCTTATTAGTTATCAAATTCATCAGAATCATCTTATGAAGCAATACTCTATTCGCTTGCATCATGAGCAATCTTTATTTTTTCAAGCATATTAAATTAAGATTGCTTAGTTTTAAAATTAGTCAAGAATTCATCATCCTCAGTGCGTGGATTTCTTTTGCTTATTAAGATTAAGGAATTTGCTAAATGAGGACTCGATAACATGTCTTCATTATGGTCGAAGACAGACATTAATTATTAATATTAAAATTTGTATTTCTTTTTTATAAGCAGAAAAAGGTTAGAAAATGCAACAAAATTATAAGAATGAATAATCTTTAATTTAAATTCACCCTGATTAATTTATTTATTACAACTAATAATTAAGTTATGTTTGAAAAAAATTATTTTTCAAATTAATTAAATCATCATTATCAAGATAGTTTAATATTTAACTTTATATTAGAGTTTTTATAACAGATTGAGATAAAGATTTTCTCAAAAGAAATAAAACATTAGTAGATAAAATATATAGTTTGTAGATTTATTTAATACCTTTGTAATTCTTAAAACTTTTAATTAACATTAAAAAAATTTTTGATTTTCCATTCAAATATAAAATAAGAATATAATAAATAATAAATATATTTAATTTAATTTTTCAATAAAAAAAAAGGACCTACTTGGATTCGAACCAAGGTCTTGAGGGTTAAAGCCTCAGGTACTAACCACTATACGATAGATCCTATAGTTATTTTCTTTAGTTAGAAATACTATTTCTACATATAGTGTTATATAAATAATAGTATAATTAAACGAAATTAAGTAGTAATAAAAATAAATATATATAATTAAATAGTGAAATTTGATTAAAATTTGATCAAAATGCAGAAAATCATTTTGTATTCATTTTTTTATAATTTCTTAAAAAAAAAGATTTTGAAATTAATCTTGAGCTATCGTTATTGGTTTTTTCCCGGTTTGATTGAGGACTCATATCAGTTTTTAGGTAAAATTTACAAGGTGAAGTTTTAACAACAGTATTAGGTGACTGATTTCTACTATTATGAAATAATAAAGGCTTTAATTTTAAAGGTTCTTTTCTAATATAGGCATTAAATCTATTTCCATTAACAAGTATTTTATTCATCTCTGGCTATAAAAAGGGATGTTTTAAAGCTTATGCAGCTGAAAATCGAATTTAAGGATCTATATCTATCAATCCTTTTAAGAAATTGATTCCACTTTTAGATATTGATGAAGTATCAGTAATATCAATATGTCCCAAAAAATTTTTGACTATTGTTTCTTTTGTTGTATTTGATTTAAATGGATCTTTGCCAAACATCAATTAATAGCATAAAATGCCTACACTATATATATCTACTTTCAATCCATATTTTTATTTTCTTAATATTTCAGGAGCAACACAACCAGGTGTACCACAATATCTAAATAAATAATCATTTTCATTATTAGCTTTTTCAGCCAAACCAAAATCAATAAGACAAATAGAATCATAACTATTTTAATTTCTTAACATGATATTGCATTTTTTAATGTCTCTATGAAATATTCCAAAACTATGCATATAATCAAGACCTCCTAAAATAGATTTCATAATAATTTTAATTTAATCTTCATCAATTTTTCTGTCTTCTATATTACTATTGAGATCACCCCCTAATAATAATTCTGAAATTAAAATAATTTATGAATTTGACTCAAATACTCCAAAATATTTTACAATATTAGGATGATTGAATAGTTTTAAGTATTATATTTCAAATAATAATGATTGTTTTATTTAATAATCTGTTTCAAGTTGTGTTTTATCAAATACTTTTATTGCATAATTTATGTCATCTATTTTAGATCGAACTTAATAAACCTAAAATTAAATATAATCATTACATTAGCTGAGGATCCCCTACCAATTAGTTATATGATTTAATAATTAGAAATAAAATCTAATGAGATGCACTCTTTCATCAATACATTAATCCAATTTTATATTTGTCCATAAAGTTCAATTTTGTTTTCTTTCTTCTACAATGATATTCCTATAATTTCTTAATTTGGATTCCTTAAAACTGTTAAAAATGCATTTGAGAACAAGATGAATTTCTTAATATAAACTATAATGGTACATTTTTAGAATATTTAATATGCTACCTTCCAATTGAAATATTTTTTTCTTTAGTAATTTCCTTGCATTTCACAGTCAAACAAGTTGTATACATTGATTAAAAATTTACATTAGTAACCCAAAATTCTGTATCAGTAGATAACAATGAATTTTGAATATCAAAATATTAAGGATATTGCTTATTTCTTATATGCATATGCATATATGTTAATAATTAACTTTTTTTATAATTTAGATATTAAACTAAGAATTAAGAGTTATATTTTGGCATAAGCATTGCTTAATAATATATATTATTCTTTAAGTATTAAATTTAAAGGAGATATATCCTAAAAGTTATTTACTTAAAGTAATACTTTTTACAAGCAATCAAACTTCAAAAATTTTTAATATTTTTTGTTAGATTATTTTACTTAAAGTTTTGATCATTTCTTATTCATGAATTAATTAATCTTTCAGAAAAACATTTGTCTGCTGGAAGAATTAGGAAAGATTTGGGACATTATATCAAATAAATCTTAAATATTTGAATTTATACTAAATTAAAGATGTGAAATTTAAACATTTACTTTTTTGGATTACCTAATTGAAAATAATATATTCTCTTTCAATATAAGTTTGATTTTTTTCATTACTAACCTTAGAAAGCTATGATAATCAAAATAAATAGATGATTCAACATGAGAAAAAAATTCAAGACAATATAATATCATTCATATTCCTGTTATTGATCACAATAATATAAACATAATTGGATTTTAATTAGTAACTTTATTTCTAGAATGGTTTTAATTCTAAACATTATCAAATATTCTTACATTTTACCAAACAAATATACTAAAAGTAATAATTAACTTTTTTATTAGATTAATAATGATAAAAATCTGTAATAATTGAATAGATTATGTAGTTGTATACTTTTTTATTTTTACTCTCTTAGATTAAATAACAGGAATTTAAAACTCTTAAATTTAACTTAATTTTGATAAAATTTTTTAGTTTACATAATACAATTATATATGCATTATTTTCGGAAATTGGGAGGCAATAAACTAAAATTTAATCAATATGAATAGTCAAAAATAGCAAACATAAAATAACAAAATTTCATTACGATTCTAAATACAAATATAATGATATCTATAAATAAATTTTTAAATGATAAGGTTTAAGTTTAAGAGTATCTAAAATAATTCTTAAACAAATTCATCCTAAATTAAGTGAACAAATAATTTATTAAATAAATTTTAATGATTAAATTGATAGTCACAATAAGTCATTTGAGCTAATTGATTATTCATTCTTGGTTTATGTATTAATGCGTATTGACATTTTATCCTGGAATTATAGCAGAAACTTTATGGAATCAAGTAAAATATTTGACAAATTTTTCAAATTGGGCAATGTTTACTTATTTAATACCTTTTGTCATATATGATTTCAAAAATTACAATGCTTCAAGAATTCAAGATAGATATCCGTAAATTGTCAATCTATTGTTTCAAGGAATTAATCCTATTTTATTTTTGGTAATGGCAACTTATTAACTTTTTATTATAATTGATCCTAATCTCTTAGTATTAGATGGATTTCATCCTACTTAATGGTAATTGGTAATACTTGCATATTTACATCTAGGAAATTGGCTTTTGATGTAAAACATAGTTATTGTCTTAGGCAAATCGAGTATATTTTGTATGAGCATTAGCAAATTCCTAAACTAAAGCTATTTGGATTTTTTTTCACATATACATTTATCTATTTATTTATATATGGTAAATTTAGTAAATAAAAATAGGTTGTTATTTTTTAATTAAAGGAAAACATGTTTATGGCTTCTAAAAAAATCTAAGCTTCCCAATTGTTGTTTTGATAAACATCTTTTAATTTTTAATTATATTTTCTGTAGATTTTGTTTATGGAAGAGTGACAAGATCAAATTTTTTCAAGAAGTTTATTCTTGAAAATTATTTAATGAATAATTAAAATAGAAATCAAAAGAAAAAATAATGAATATTATATTATAATTATATGATAATGATAATATTATTTCATAATTTGAAACTATCAAAAAATAGTTTTTCAGCAATTTCAAAATTAATTAGAAAATTATTTCTAAAAAGTATTAACATTTTAAATTTTAATCATGCAACCTTATTAATTGATAGGTATTGATTAAAAAAACAAATTCACGCAGCATTTACTTAAGATTAATAAAGTAAATATTTAGAATTATTCCTCATCAATTAAATTTTAATTTCATTCATATCAAAAATGTGGGTATTAATTATGAGAAATTTTTAATCTCTTCAAAAACTGTCAAATCCTACTTATAGGAAAATAAAGCAAATATATCTAAGCTTGGTTTATGGCTCCAGCAATTTTAGTAAAAGCTAAATAAAACAAATGAAGATCTAAGTTTTAATTAGTTATACTTCTAATATTTAGACTACAATTTTTGTTAATCTCATTCTTTTCTCACTCTCTTTTAATCAAATATTAAAAAGGATAGAATATTGCATATAAATTTGCTTATTACTTTTTTAAGAATTAAATAATTAATTTTATTAGTAATTGTGATATAGATTGTAAATTTCTAATTAAGACTTCATAGGTTTTGAAATTTAGAATATTTGATTAGATGGATCAATTTCTAAAAATTCATATGATTGCTAATATGCTGTAAAACTTTCTTAATTTTATTAGGATCAATCTAATTATGTAAAGGAGTAAATGGTTTATATGATTTTTTTGTGTTAAATTATAACTAATAATTATTATAGTCAATTTTCAAAATTATGCATTTCTATTTGTTATCTTATATTTGATTTTGATAGTACATGATCATTAGTTGTTGCTGCATATACATCATATGCAATCCCCTGAAATTAAGATAATTTTTACTTTAAATTCTTTATATGCTTAAAAAGTGAAGTACACAGAAACAATGTAAAAAGTTAAAGAAATTGCTTAGAGCAAAAACTAATTTCTACTATCATTTGATAACTATTCGAGGTTGACTTTATTTTAGATATCAGTCAAAAAATTAACCACAATCAGAAAAGTGTTCATAAGACAAAAAAAGATGTAAATCACACAATTACAATAATTCAATTATGCCTAAGCACACCTATATTATGTCTTAATAATACCACAATATAAATGCGGATGTGAATTCTGCTACACCTGCCCACATATCGTAATATAGTTTTCCTAATGCTAAGCATATTTGTAAGAAAATTATAAAGAAAATTATTCTCCTTAAAACCTTTGCTTTCTCAGTTGTAGGAGGCACAATATCACCAACGCATAATATCATTCTTATTAAAATAATAAATTATAATAAATAAATTAAAATAAGTATTGATATAATATTCGATGATTTCGCTTAAAATTGAAATTTTTTAGTAAAATAGTATTAAGTAAAATAATCGTCACAATATAATTTTTGAATGTTAAGATTTATTTAACTTAATATTAAGTACTTAAGAAGATAGTCGATTAAATTTAACATCTAATACCTTTTTCTGAGCATTTTAATTTTGGATCATTTATCTCGTAACTACAAAAGACTTCAAAAGATATAATTAAATTTTAATCAACTTGCTTTCTGGAATTTTTTTCAATTTTTTTTTCTTATAATTGCTCCTATATATCAATATCTTTGAATACGAAATTCTTGTTCCTGAAGTTGTTTGATTTACTTTTATTATAGTTTCTTTTTACATCAAGAAAAATTGAGATATTTTTTAAGCTGACTTATTTTATCAAAATTAGTTTAGAATTCATTGTTTAAATTATTATGTTATTAAAAAGCAAATACACTTTTTGGGTTTCAACTTAAAGAACACAGACTAAGATTGATAAGGATAATTACAATGACAATCTATATCAAGTGTGTATGATATTTAAATAATTTAAATTCAGGTAAATTCGAAACAGCTGAATAATTCTGGATGTATTATTAATGGATAGCTAAGCCATCTACTATTCCAGAAGGATGCTAAATTCTATTATTTTAAGAAGAAATCTAACCAATGTGGGAAGATAAGGCAAATTAAAATGGAGGAAGATTTGTATTTAGATGCAAAAATAATGTTGACCGAGTTTGGGAAAACATACTTTTGAGTTATATAGGCAATTAATGCACTTACAATGAATTTGTATGTGGAGTAGTTGTTAATTAAAAAAGATCATTTACCTAAGTTTCTATTTGGGTTAAGAATATGACCTCATATTAGACCTAAGAAGATAAAATAATATAATGGGTTAAAGAGATGTTTGGAATCAATGAATTAGAATTTGTATAGCATCCAAAAAGTTGAAATTATTTATTAATATAAAATGAATTCTTTCCGTAAAAGTTAGACTAACAACATCAGTAGAAGAGAGTCCTTAGAAACTATGCCTACTGTATTTAATGCAGAACTGCTGAATTTGCAATTTGCAAATAAGAAGAAGGAGGTAGACAACAGCATATATATATATATTTATAGGTCATAAATGAATATGTTGTTAAAAGAAAAGCTGAATTATTGGAAGAAATGCAATAAGAATAAATACATTAGGATTACGATAGAAAAACTGAAATTTAAAAGTTAAAAGCATTATTGGCTAATATCAAATATCAAAATGATCTTATGAAGTTAAATTTAAAATAATACGATCAAATAGACGTTGAATAATAGAAATTCACTACTATCTCTCATAATGACTTGGTGGATGTTAATAATTAAGTAGATGCTGAATAAGAATAAAATTAAGCATTATAGCAATAAATTTAATTATTAGGACGCTCATTAAGGAAAAATTAAAAATACAACAATACACTTATAGAATAATTGCAATTATTTACTCAAAAATAGCCTTAGATTTATTTAAAGGAGTTTCAAAATTAATAAGCCTTTGATGCAGCAAAAAAGTAAAATACAAAGATAAAAAAGGCGTTACAGGAAGAAAAAGAATGGTAAATAAAATACTTATATGAAAATACAACAAATTATGAACACAAAAATTAAATTGTCAAGTAATTTATAATTAAATTTATTTAGGGAGAATTTAGAAAGTTTATGTTAATAAGAAGAAAGATTAAGATATCTATAGGAATAATTGATTCTAACAGAAAAATAAATTTAGGATATTGATTTAGAAATATCAACTAAGTTTAATAAGATTGAAGAATGTGCAGAATTTTTAGATGAGTTGGATGATTTCGACAAAATTATCTTAATATTTGTGATGGAAGATCCAAAAGATTTTGAACTACCAGAAATTTTAGAAAATGCAAGAAATTAATTATCAAAACCAAAGAATAGAATGTAAATTGCTGATAGCGAATAAGAATATATTGATAGAGCTAGATTTAGCAGTGTAAGTTCAAGAATGAAAATCTTTTTTAAATTTCATAACAATAATTTATAAAAATCAATTGATGATTTGATTTAAGTATATCGTAGATTATAATTTAATGAAATGACTTTAAAAAATAGGTATGAAGATTTATTAGATTAAAAAGCAAAATTGAAATAAATTTTAGAAGATTTAAATTCCTTAGAATTCTATGCAATGGATGACATTTTGTTTGAAAGAGACGATCAACATATGAATATTGAAGAATTAAATGTAGAGGCAGCCTTAGTCTCTAAAAATCAATAAATTAGATTAGTTGAAAATAATGCTTAATTTGTATTGAGAATGTACAGTATGCTAACAAATGTATTATTTAGAATGATTAATTCACTTTTAAATATTAAAGAAGTATTGAAAACCTGTCCTTCAGAATTATTTGATTAAGAGTAAGAATTTATTAAATTTTAGTTTTTATTTAAAATGGACATATAATAAATTATATTTAAAATTAACTACTATTCATGATTAATTGGAAAATCAATTTAAAATTAAAATAGTTGTTAAAGATCCTGTAATTCGTAATTCGAATCAATTATTGAATGCTATTTATGATCATCTCGAAGATCGTCCAGCTAAAAGGAAAACCTTGCTTCCTATAGCTTAGAAATAAGGTGTCTAAGAGATTATAGGCACAGTGTTAAATAAAGAAGAAATAAAATAAATATCTGATGCAATTATTAAAGATCCAATTTTAGCTTAGTTTTTTACTATAAATGATTTATAAAATATTGTTTCATAACTAGATAATTACAATTTAGATAGTTTATTGAAAAAAATAAAAACTGATGGATATGAAATAGCATTAACAACAGCAAGAAGATAATTAAAATTCTTATTAAATTTTATAGAAGAAGCTGTATTTGATTGTAAGAATATTTAAGAGTAGCAAAGTTCTGCTAAATTACTTTAATAAAAATATAAATTATAAGATTTAATGGAAAAGCACATGAATAGTTATGAGTTTAAACCAAAAGAATGGAAAAAGGATGTAATTGAAAGTAAAATAAAATAATTAAGACCATTGAATGGATAACCTTTTGAAGAATAACCATCCCCAATAACTGAAATAAGAATCTAATAATAATTAACTACTTAACCTCCTACTCCAAAGATATAACCTATTAGATTTTGTAGAACAGAATAGTCACCGAATCAAATTAAAAGATTTATCTTCACTATTGATTCTTAAATACCAAACTGTTCTTAATCTTAAGCTAATTAAAAGTAATCTGATCCTATATTTATTCATTTGCATCATATGAATAGAAAGATAAAAAATTTAAATCGATCTTAAACTTAGCAAAAATCAAGTCCTCATCATCAATTTGATGTTCTATTTAGTAAAAAAAGTGTAGAGTTATCTCGTGATTCAATCACTAATTTACAACTAAAATCAACACCCTTATAGTAGAATAAAGTTATTTTAAGAACAGCATCAAAATGTCCAAAATTACTAAATAATACTAATAATAGCACTAATTTAATTTCGACTAGGTCGAAATGTAATACAAAGGCATCAAATGATCAAAAATTGGAATAACCTTAATCAATTTGTAAATCCCAATTATCATCAACATATGGAAGCGCAAATAAAAAATTATAAGACTTCTTTCATATGACAAGCATTAGAAAAAAATGAAAATGTTTATATCATACTTATTCATATATTAATTAATGATTTACTCTCATCATCTAATTCGTCATCTTCATTGACATCTATTTAACTTGCCTTCTTTTTACACATAAAAATAAATATCATCAAAGATGACAACCCTAAAAATGAAGCATTTGCTAAAAAGAATATTACTGCAAACATAGGATATCCTAATGAAATTCTATTTAAATAAATATTAACTATATACCTATTATAAAATGTGGATAAATTAGTCATCTAACAAATAAATTTGGCTTCCACTTTACTTACTGCTTCTAAAGTACACAAGGATTACTATCTTGTTCGAATATCATAATAGTGTTGATTTCCAAAAGTTGCATATTAGGGACATAAAGTCATTAATTGATTGCAAACTACTAAAATACTTATGTTCAAAATTGCAGCTACTATAAACAAAGATGAAGGTTAAGTCTGTTCTTTTTTTATTTCAAATCCTTTTAAAAAAATGATTCCACATTTAATAATTCCATATAATGTACATATAAAGATATAAAGGGTAAAAATGAAAAAGAACAAATAATCTAATGGAAAATAATATGAGGAATAAACATATAATGTATCGATGGGATTTAAAAAAGTTTTTTCTTAGATTAAATACCCACATTTAAATCCACAAGATGAATTTGTAATCTATCAATTTAAACACTTTTTTACTTTGTCATAAGTAGTAATCGCTAATGAACTAAATATTAGAATTGAAAAGCATAAACAAATGATTCCTATTATTATTCTAAACGGAGATATTATTTTAAAAATTGTCTATAAGGATTTAGTCTATGTTTCTAATTCAATAATTTTTTCGTTTTTTAGATTTAAGAACCTTTCTTTTCTTTTTAAATTAGTCAACGCCTAATATAAATAAAAAATCATATATATACCCTTTGATCTCCTTTCGAAATTTTAGATGAACTCTTTTAATATTTTTCCTATATTGCCCTATATTTTTCTCTTAATTTAGCTAAATCATTATCGACCTATGACTTTTCTTCTTCCAAAGACCTCGCTCCTTTAATTAATTAAAATGGCAATGCAGTTAATCCATATGAACCATAAATTACCCATAAACAAAAACCAAATGTTAAAATGATCGAAATGCAAAATGATATTGCTTATTCCCCTAGATGATCAACATCAAACATTGTTTTGACCCATTCTAATTTTTCAGAAGTATTGTAATTCACTTCAGGATTAAAGACCAGTCCTGAAATTAATAAAACACAAATAAATCCTATAAAATATACAGTTTATTTGGCTGATCTAATTATTTTTGATGATAGACGTTTTTCACTTAAATCTAAGTCAAAGTCATTATCATAATTTAATGCTCTTTCTTCAGAATAAAAATAATTAAATGGTAGAATAACAAATGTGATAAATAATAATCCAATATAAAGATCTTAAAGGATTAATGTCATTTTTACATATAAATACTTCCCTTATAAAATACTTATTAATTGGTTGATGGAGTGTGGAGATTACATCATTTGGATGAGAAGTCACAAATACATCAATTGGCACCATTAATATGCAAATCATGGATACAGTAAAACTTAAACAAATTGAGTTAATTGCAAAGTTATAAGACTCAGCAGGGTCTATATAGTATTTCACTATTATTCTGGATAAAAAGTAAAGCCCCTAAATAAAAATAATGAGTATACCAAAATCAAAGCAATATAAAGAAACCACGCAAAATACATTTTATGAATAAAATAATATCAACACAATAATAAATTATCAAATATAATGTTATTTCAGAGATAATCACTCCCTGCTTTAAATTCTATCTGTTATCAATCCAACAATGAGGAATGTGAATAATAACTTAGGCCTTTGTATATATTGATTCGAGAAAATCAAATTGATGTTTAATAAGAAAACATTACTTTAGTTGGTTTATTTAAACTCTTAAAAGTATGCAATAACATTTTCATAGATTTGGAAATTAGATATACCATTTTCAATTTTAGCTAAGTTAATGTTAAATGCAAATAAATATTGTAACTAGTAATTGAATTAAATGATTAACTTACATTCATTTCATCAATTAATGCATAATCCCTAATTATAAATGATTTACAGAAAAAAACCTCGCTCAGAAGTGTTCTAATTAATTGGAAATAATGCTTATTTATAAAATTGTTAATTCTCGACTCCTCAGACAATAGTTGGATTATTCTCTAGACTAGGAGAACTGATATAGAGAAAATAAATGTATCTCAAAATCAATAATGAAAACATAGATGCTAAAGATAAGTATAGTTATATTATTAAAATGATGCAAAATACACCTAGAGATTGTAAAATAAGTCCAAGAAACAATTTTACTGAAAAATAAGACAGTTTACTTTTAGGAAATTAACTCTTCAGTACTTAATCAAAAGCTGATAGTATTTTATTCTTAGAAGATAAAGAAGATAACGAAGAAAATGATGACCAATTTCCTCAAATTAATTAAACTACTAAATAAAAGTTTCAAAAATTATAGAATGTTTTAGATTTGAACAATTAATAATTTAAAATGAATCATAGAATGAGAAAAATGCATACATCAATGATGAAGCATATGCTTTAACTTAAACAAAATTAAAATGTTAATAAGATAAATAAATTAATATGGTAAACGTAAGGAAAAATATAAATTAAATTACCTGAAATATGATCATTATTTTAATTATAAATATATATAAAATCAATGATAACAGAGTCCTAATTTTTTCAAGCCAATGATTAAAGAATTGTAATATTATGGGGAGTATCTAAGATCTATAAACTATCTTAACATAATATTTAAAGAAAAAAATATCAATTAAATAGATATAAAAGAAGATCGAACTTTATCCTTCTTAAGAAAAAGGCGAATATATTTTACATAAGCTTCAATTCTCTCTATTTTAGAATATATTTATATGCTTAACATATTTGGTTTCAAAGAAATTTATGTGATAAATACTATTATACAGAAAATTTAAGGGTTTAAAATTAAGAAGAACCAATTGGCTTAAATCTAACTCGTTCAAAAAAATATTGAAAAATGGGAAATTTGGAAAATCATGATAATTCCAATTAGTTAATGTTCTTTCACTTTTTATAGGTCTATCAAAACTATCAAACAGAATTCAGCTCTATAATATTTATAATTATATAATACTATTATCATTATTTCATAGGATCTAAAATTTGAGAGAAAAATTATTTTAACTTTCAAACATATAGAATTAGGAGAACATTTCGGTATGATTTATATTGGGAATTTTTTGTTGAAAATGCTCTATTAAAAAATATCAATTGGTTCCAGAATATTTAACAACTTTATTAACAAGTGAGTTCGTAGTTCAAAACAATCTCTAAAAATATAAGAAATATGCTATTTAATGATTCCAAAAATATCGAATATTGTTTTTTATTTCTATATATATTGAATTCTGGCTTATTCTTAACGAATTAATTTTATCTCTAAATTTAAAATGGCTAAGATTACCTAATTAAAAAATAAGAATAATAGAAATATCTAAATAAATTTATATGTATAATTGATATTCTAAGTTAATATAAGTTATTAATTTTGTTCATCTAAAAGTAAGTTAAAGTAAATTGAATGTTTATGAATTAAAGATTTTTCATATCTTTAAGTTTCATTTTCTCCTTTAAATGAATAAGATTTCTTAATTTTATCAAGTTAAATGTATTAATATGAATTTATGAAATAAATATATACAATAACAAAATCATAGACTATAATCATTTTTATGCATCAATTAATGCAGTACTTTTTTAATTTTCTTCATTTCTTTATGCTTTGAATCTAATATATTGTAATTTGATATTTACTTTTTATATTGTGCTTCTTTGATATTCAGCATCGAAAGAAACACTTTCTTTGTTTTAGGAAATTCTTCTTACTATTTATTACATGTGTTTTATGTCTTTGGTTATTTCATTTCTTTTTTCTAGGATTTTTTTTGTGATTTTGTTTTTAATTTTTATTCATGTGGTTGAATAGGATTAGTGTCATCATGCTTAGGCAATTAAATATTTGAAAAGTCTATCTCTTCTAATTTTTAATTTAGGATATTTGAAGAAGGCATGGTTTAATTAAATGAAGCTCTTATGAATTTTGTATATGAAATACTTTTAAATCTGATAATAGATTAACATCTGTTAAAGAATTAATTGTTGTTAAAGAATAAGGCTTTGATCAATGTAATTCAAGCTATTCATTAAAATATAAGGAATTATTTAAAGAAAAAAGATTTGAATATTTGGCTTAATAGCAAATAATCATGCGTCATGGATTATTTGTGGTAATCCTTACAAATGATCTTGCATCATAATAATTAATAAAATTTTATAATAATTATATTATTATTATTATATATTATTATTATTATGAGCATAATTAGATATTAATTGTTAACTATGACAATTATTATTATAAAAATATAATAATTAATTAGAATATTTTCTTATTGTAATCAAATTTTGGCTTTAGTAAATGAAATTTAAATGTGATCTACTTCTTCCATAAGCATTAGTGCCATTATTTTCAAAGCTTGCTTTATTGTTTCCATTTTGATTAACACATTGATACGACTTTAACAGCCTATGGATTATTTCTCAAAATACTTCAACAACACCATATTCTGAAAAGATTTTTACATTGTTTCAGCATTGAAGGAAACTTTTTTCAAATTTGGAATATGAAGTATTTGGATAGGAGGTAGTAAAATCATCTTATTATTTGCGTTAAATCTAGGGTTTATTTTTTAACTAAGTGCCTGTCAGTATCTTCGGATCCAACACATAGTGATATTCTCCATATAAAGTAACTAGACTAACTAACTCATCAATTGAATCATCTCCTTATCATGTGATTGTTATAGAACTTTCAAAAATTTGTAAATTTTGACAATTCTAAAAATAGAAATATGCCTCACCTTCTTTTAGGTACTTAAATTTAGCAAAATTTTTTACTTCAACTATTCTAAATATATTGACTTAGTAAAATAATTTTATCTACATAACCAACTTTGCTAAAGATATTATATAATTTATGAACATCCATTTATTTTCCAGAAATTCCATTTAAACCTACTGTTATTGTTAATTTTTTTTTTTAGATGGAATTCGCTTTAACTTATTGGCAGTTTAGTTGCGCTGTGCGGATTAGAGTCTTAATCTTGTATGACTATATTTAATATTACTAAGTATAACACTATCATTTATTGATGTGGAATGCCTAGAGTTGTATATTCAATAGCTTCATATGGCCCTATAATAAATGAACTAGATGACATTAGTTTATCATTTTAATTATAAGAACTTTTGATAATTGGTGATTATAATTGATCAAGTGCTTTTTTTGGCATTTTTTCCTACTTAAATATGAGATATTTCTACAAAGACTCGACATACAATGAAGGATCAATTCAAAATTTTATTGAATCACTGGTCCATACCTTAAAATATTACAGAATTACTGTCTTATCAAATATTAAAAATATTAGATGGATCTATTAATGTTATTAATATAGCAATAAGGGCGAAAAATGTAGAGTATCAGATAATCTAGCCAAAGAATCACTAAAAATTTATACTTATTAATCTAATAATTTTCATTTTATGTTTTAAATAATTATATCATTAAAGCTGAATCAAGATTTTTGGATTTTATCACCAAACGGTTTTATTTTTATATATTTTCTAACTTAATTAAAAGGTAAGCCATACTATTGTTTTGGGAGTAAGATATGATTTCAAAATATTTTAATTCAAAGTAATACAAATTATAACTAAAATGGATATGAATATATTTTTGAAAAATTGATATGATTGTTTCTTCACTATTTCAGATCGATGATAAACATTTATAGTAATTAGGAAAGATCAACTCTATATTCTAAGTTTACTTTTGTATTTCTAAAAGCATTCACAGCTTTACTAACCCAAAGAAGCTGCCAATGTAAAAATTATCCGATTTGACACTCATGTATTCTTAGTTTTTTCAATCAATCTCTAAAATTGTTTCTTAAAAATAATATAAATTTTCATTTTTATTAAAAAAAAAATTGATTTTGTAGCATATCACTTAAATAATAAATTAGCTAATTAAAAAACGCAATATCGTATCATTTTTCTCCTAGATGTTATAAAAATAAGAGGCCTTACTCTATAGTAATTTTTAATCAACAAAATTTCCAATAATATAAACATTTTTACTAAAAACTATTACAAATTTGTAGAATTTTTTTTCTTCTGATGATAAAACCAAATTTTTCAGTTCATTCTGTTTAGAATATTAAATCACTTGTTCTAAATTGTAATCAATAAATAGTTAAATGATCATACATATAATTTTACAAAAATAATAAAATTTCTAACAAAAAGGATTAAATTAAAGAGAAGATGTTGCTTTTCAATGAATTTAATAGTGAGTGAGAGTTAATTCACAACTTATGCATAACAACCATTAAAAGAAAAAAACTTAGATTAAGATTAATTATAACATTTAAAATTTACAAAAAGAGAATAATTTATTCATTAAAATTTCAAATTAAATCGAATTTTCTAGGAAAGATATAAATGATTTTGTATGATATTGATTTAGGCTATTCGTTTAATAAGCTATACCTTGTAATATATATATAATTATATTCTTGAACAGTTGAAACTCATTTGGTTTCTTATTAACCAAAATCAATTTAATAAAAGTCAGAGAAATTAAAATGATTATAAAAGATGACAATTTTACTATTGGAAGTATAAGTTTTCCTTATAAATTATTAAAAAAATAGTTAAACCTAGTAAGAGAGTATAAATAATTGATTAAATAAGATTAATTTATTCGATCCTAAAGATTATCAATAAGATGACAATTTTATAAAAGATGATTAAGAATAGCTAAGAATATTACTAAGAATTGATAATATCAAATTTTTAAAAAATAGTTAATTGCCTCCAGGTTAATTAAATTAAAAGGAATATACTTTATTTTTGAATGATAAATAAATTATTGTAAATAATAGAGGATCATAAGGCAAGCAGAATAAGTATTCTTCTTTAAAAGAAGATATATTACCTTTTACAGATATGTTTCCATCAGAGATTATACAATTAGAATAGGAAAAATAGTCATACAAGAAAAATAGAATTAAAATATTAAATAAAAATTTTAAAATAAAATGAATTACCCATAAAATGATTTAGCTTAAAAGCTACAATAAGGAGTAAAATTAATAAATTTAAATGAAATTATTTGTATTATGATTTATTTACTCTCATGCAATATTTTTTAGTGTTTCTAGTTTATGAACGCTGAATCTTGGGTCAATTATTTAATGGAAATAATTTGGACCATAAATTTCAAGATATTACTTTGCCAATCTTCTTCTTCTGGGCCATTAGATTAGAGTCTTTAAATTTTATTTATATTTACTTCGCATAAAAAGTTTGGATATTGAAGGCAAACTTATTAAGTAGCTAAAAATACTGCCCAAAGACCAAAAGATTTTGCATTGAAACTCCATGTCTTATATAAATATAATCCATAAATCGCATTCATGGCTGAACATGTGAATTATAGTGTATATGATACTATTCCAAGGGGCAATGGAGACAATATTCGATTTCTAATAGCAATAAAAAAATTATTACTCTTATGGTGTGAAGAAATTAGGATTCAAAAGCTGCAATTTTTATAAGGCAAACACAGTTCTATTAATAATTTAGGATTCCGCTATTAAATATGATATTGTATTTTACAATAATTTTCGATTGATTTATGTTCATAATTATCTGTGTTAATTGTTGGAACATCATGATAAATTAATGATGCAAATGGTCTCAAAATATATGGTAATCTTTATTAATAGAAAGGTTATAATCTCTTAATTTGTTCAGCTTTGATTTCATGTGATAAAGCTGAATCATGATCTTCATGATGATCTCCTCCCATTTTGTATTATTTATTAAATTAATATCTATATATTAAAATAATAAGTTTTATAAAAATAAACAACAAATCAATTTTATAAATTCATTCGTTTTGGTCTAAGTTTCTTTTAAATCTACAATGCCGAAGTGTTCAACTTATTATCTTCTTCCTTTTAACCTCTTCATCTTGTTATTATTCTTATTTGTTGCATCATATTATTATCTTTGGTCATCAGATTCTATTGTAATTGTTAAATTCACCATGTCATCTTATTAACTTTTATTATTATTTTAGGAAATTATGAAGAATATTAACTTCGTTATTCTGTGGGGCTTTTCCATTATGGGTGTGGGTTCAAAAAATTAAGACTACTCTTAGAAGGTCACAAGTTTCTTTATATATTCTTAAAAACTGGTTAGGCGTCTTCATCTAATTATTTAATCTATTGAGCAAGCAATTAGGCATTTCATCTTCAAAATAGAATTTGATTTATGATTAAATATAGGTTAAGTTTTTTAATCTTTTGAATTTTAACATTTTCATCAAATGCCTTTACTAAAAATGCTAAAGATTTATATTTATTTTTGACTTAATTGAATATATTCTAATTTTGTTCATTAATATATATGTAAAACGAATTTGCCTCTCTTTATATCTAAAATATTCAATGTTAAGTTAAAAGTTCCTCATTCATAAAAAGTTTTAGTTTGTAGTATGAAATTAATTATTTACATCACTAAATTTAAGACTATTAGTTTAATCATCATATTTGCTATATTTAGTGTAAATTAATAGATGATTTCGCTGGCTCTATTGGAAATAGAGAATATTTGATGAAGAAAAAAAGTAAATACTAATAGTTCCTTATTAAATCTCTTTGATTCCCGATTAATTCTGTAAAATAATAAAAATTTTACTTCTCTACTAAGTTGAACTCTTTTCAATTTTGTCAAGGTATTAAATAAAATGGGATTTACTGAAAATTATTTTGTGCTTGGATAATAAATTTATTTTTTTTTATATTTTTACAATTTTTGAATTATAACCAGTTATTGAGTTGAACTATAAGGTTATCGATTAGAAATTTTAGCTGAGTCCAATTGAAATGACGATGATGAAAACTATTGCTATATATTTATTCTTATTTGACTGTAAAATATTTTCAATTAAAAAATCAAATTAGATTGGGTATTTTATTTAGAATGGCTCTTTCTTAGTTTTATTATTATCCTTCAACAGATCAATTTAATTTCTATCAAAAAAATCACTATAGAATTTTCCATAATTATTATTTTTGGCATGATTAAATAAATCTATAAATGGTAATTGAAAAAGCTCTTGATTACTGCTTTTTTTTTTGAATCCTATAACTGCATTGAATTATTTTCTAACTTTTAATGTTACAAATAATGTTCCTACAAATTTGCTGGATATTTTGGCAAAATTTATTAGTATATGTATTATATCTTCATTTTTTTTTATTTCATTTAGATTTTATTGTGAATATACTAACTTGCTAAAATAAATGTAAAGATCTTATTAAAATTATTTTTCATGTACCTTTGCTATTCCTAGATTAATTTAAGTATCACTAATGAATTCATGCAATTTTTTTTTATTTTATTAGTTTTAACAATAGCTTATTATAAGTATTAAAGTGCTGCTGAAAGTTCTTAAAAAGCTAAGGCTTAATTATTGATGTATAGCGAACTAGAAGACTATAGCATATGTGTTTAACCCACAAAATCATCTATTGATGAATCAAATTTATACAGAGACAATATTTATAAACGCAATTATAAATAATGAGTATTTTCATGATATTTATTGACATTTTATGTGAATAATATCATCATTACTTATTGAATTTCAATTTATTAATTTATACTTGCCACCAAATCAATTATCATTCAAAAATCTGTTATAATATCAGATTATCTTCTGATTTCAAAATTAATTTAATAATAATATAAAACTACTTCTTCAACATCTTAAATAATCGAATTGATGTTCCTCTTTTTGAATTTTTGCTCAAATAATTATAGGTTATAATGATAATCATTAATTGTAAGAAATAATTTGCCTTGTATTATAATTAATCAACTGAATTATAAAATCTAAAAGTTGTGTGGCTTACACCACTTATAGACCTACTTAGTTCACTGGTAACGCTGTTTCATAAATAAACTCATCCATGAAAATAAATATAGGTTCCAAATTTCTTCTTAATTTCATATTCTCTATTTTAAATTAAAAAATCAAGTAAATAAGATTCATTTGTAGATCAAGGTCAAACTTCACCAAATTTTTATTTTTGCATTATTCATCTGTAAATGTTCTAAAGCTTAAGAAAATTAATTATGATTACAATTATAAAATATAATAATAAATAATTTAATGAAATAAGCCTTTTATTTTCTCCGAAAAACCGATACATTTGGTGTAAAATTTAATCCTGCAATCAACAACAAAATGAATTTTACTTATAAAACTTTTTTAGGGGGACTTTTTTCTTTAATCATTTATTCACTTAGTGCAGCTTATTTTGTATATGAAATGTACAGATGGATGAATATGGATATGGTTCCTATTGTGACAACTGAGATTCATAGTTTTAATAATGATATTGAAAATCTTTTGGATGAATCTAATGCTTAGATTGAATTTGAAATTTTTAACACAGCAAATGGAAATGACTCAATTAATCCATTCAATTAAACTTAACTTGTATTGACTCCAATATTGAAGAATTATTCAAATGGAAAGGAGTAAACTGTCGGATATAATTTTTCTTAATTTGTGTCTGAAAATATATTTACTCCATAATTTAGACTTAATTCAAAAAGTGAATATTAAATTTCTTTTGCAAGATGTACACAAGAAATGCTACTTGAAGGTTAAATTTGTGCAAACTAAGAAATTATAAATAACTTTTTCAACCAAAGAGGAAACGAATTGTAAGTTAACATAATTCTCAAAATAGTTGATCCAAGGACATTTAAAGAAAAATAAATAAAAAAAACATATGGAATAATTTTAGAAGAAATAGAATGCTAAATAACTAAAATTAGCATGGAATATACACATTATTAGATATATAAAGATTTTATATTTCCAACCCCAATCAATAAAATATTTGTAAGTGAAACAGTTGAATAAACAACTTATGGAACTAAGGACTATTGTTCAAAAAGATTTGTTGAAGAAAGTTATGCTTTATTATGGATAACTACATCTTAGGTTGCATATGTTTAGAGAATGTAATATCCTGAAATTGGAGATGTATTAGCCAATATTGGATCGATTATAGAGGTTTTATTTTTAATAGAGCTTTTCATTCATAAATACAACGAAAGTTGCTTGATCAATTCTATGAAAGAGCAAATTCTTTCATTTTATTATCCTGAATTATAGTTTATTAAAATGAAAAAAAATTGTTTAGGTAATATTAAGAATTGTTCTTTAAATTCAGCTACTTGAATTTAATTTATGAAGTTTCAAGGTTGCAATTCATTTTGCAATCCATTACTGTTAAAGAAGAGTTTTATTAATCACATTAGATAGGCATTAAACTAAATCTAGAAAAAGATTGTGAAAATGATTAATTCTTTAATTTGATGGAAGATGATGGAGGGGGATTTTTAGATTCAGCAAAAATAGTGAATAATAAAAAATTGTCTTCTAACGACTCGTTTTTATTATCTCTTCATAAAAGAAATCTATTAATGAATGAAGATTATATTGATTAAGAGTTAATTTCTGATAGAAATTTTTTTGAAATTAACAGAATCAGTAAAACAAAAAATTGAAAGTATTAAATTGAAAATTTTTTTTTTAAAGTTTGATTAATTATGATTTAGTATTAAGTATTGTTTCTATTCTTAGTTAAGGATACAAAATTATATCTGTAATATCAAATACATAAATAATATGTGATATGATATTATTCATATCTTTATCTCCATTTACCATTCCTGATATTAACTTAAAGGGTAAATTTTCCAAGAATTAATCAGGAGAGGTATACAGCTCATAGATTTCCCTGAAGTTTTCTCATGGCATCTTAATTAAAGTAACCATTAGGGTAAGTTATAATTTTACTTCAACAAATAGTTTGAGCTATTCAACTTCTTATATTTGATCCATTTAACTAAGGTGTCAAATTTGGAAAAGTCCATATTAATGGAGAAATAAAACTTTTCTATTGATCATAAATTATTCAAGTAATATTTTGTAAGATTAGAAAGGTTTCCCACTATTTAAATATTTAGTTGAGTTTTTCTCATTTTGGTAAAAGTCGATACATAGTCTCTTAAATTCATCAATAATGTGAGATCAAGCATGTTATATTCTTAATATTGATTCATCAATCTTCACTCTTTAAACACATAAAATAGATACTTTAATCGTATCTTTTAAAGATAGAAAGAAATATGGATATAAATTGTATCCAATTAACTTATTTTCCCCATCAAATCAAAAAATTATCATTGTACTTCCTCGTGATCTTTCTAATATGTATTCTCTTTTGATACTGAAAAGTATTCAAAAAATTTATTAAGTAAGAGATAATTTTAATCTAAAAACTTAGGACCAGCTGAAGCATTAGCTATTGCCCAAACCTTTACAATGATTGAATATTAAAGTGTTGTATTTTCCTAGAAAATAGAAGTATAGATATACTCTTATTCTTTAATTAAATCAATGATCATGACTTATCTAGATTCAGAAAAACCCAGAACAAGCAAATTTTTTAATGGCAAAGGTATAATTTAATGATGTATATATTTGTTTAGCAATTGCATTAGAAAAAATGAATAGATTTGAAGAAGCATTGCAATATTATGATTCAGCTATAGAGAAAAATCCAGAAAATTCAAGTTACTTCTACAATAGAGGTAATATAAACAATAGCCACTTTAGCATTAACATTAGATAAAATGAATCAATTTGAAGAAGCTTTAAATTATTATGATTTAGCAATCTAGATAAGTCCATTAAATCAGGATTACTATTATGGTAAAGGTAAAAAGTAAACCGTATATGTTTGTAGCAGTGACTCTATTTTATACAAAGTTAGTATTAAAAGATATAGAATATGAATAGATAGGATGAAATTGAATTTTTAAGAAAAGTCTATTTCAAGGCTTAATTTGAAAATTGAATTTTGAAATAAATAAATTTTACACAAATTAAAAGTAAAATTTGAATTATTTTTTTTATTATTACAATTTATAGTTCAGCAAAAAGGTGTAATCTCAAGACACTTTTAGATTTCGGTGATAATTTTCTTTAAGACCAGCTACAAGCCATTTTTTCAACTCTAGGTAAATTAATGATAATACTACTAAAAAAGAGAAATAATAATGTTGTGATATCTCTGATAGATATGAAGAGAATTATATAAAAATAATATCAAAAGAGTGAAAGTTAATCTTTTGAAATTTTAGTATTAATTTGAAAAAAAATATCAAACAATTTCTGAAAAAGTTGGTAATTTGCAATATAAAGATAATCGATTAGTACATTGCTCAGTGAAAATAATTAAGGATTAGATAAACACCAATATAAAAAGGATTAATTTTATTAACTAATTAAATTAAAAATTGTCGAGTGCCTTGTTGTTAAAAGGATGGGGAATTATTAGATTATTTTTAATTTTGCTATTACAAAATTATCACTATTGATGAATTCATTAATTAAATTCTTTCTAGTAACATAGAAGCTTTCAAGAAAATGATCTATTTGGGGCTTATAAACTAATTTCTGAATTGTAAAGATAAATAAGGGTTTGAACAGTATTAAATAAAATTAGGACATTTATCTAAAATTAATTCCATTTATCATAAAAACTTAAGAATTTTTGAAGAATCCAATTCGGAAAGAGTAAATAATTTATTCATTAATCGAATTCATTTAATACTCAAAAGATTCAAGCCTATTGTTCTTAATCCTTAATAAATTTATACATAGAAATTTTGCAAGCGAAATATTAATGAACCTATCTTAATCACAAATAAAATATTAATTTCAAGATTCGTTTATTAATATAACAACCTACAAGAGAAAGGAATTGAAGGATAAATACTATAATCATTTGCTAGTCGATATTTAAAAGAAAAAAAATTAAATTAAGTTCATTTATCTAATGCCTATATTATAGTGATTAGAGATCTAATTTTTTCCTTTTTATTTGATATTTACTTTGATTAAAGATTGACAAGATAGAAAATAATTTGTAGTAGAATAAGCAAAATTAAAAAGACTCTGTTTTGCAGAACTTGTTAAAACAATCAGAGGTTTTAATTATGCTGTCGATGCAACTATAAATACATTTGATAAATATGCTTCCTGGGTAACTCAATATTTTTTAGATCTTGTTCAAGAATTTGGTTTTAAAGTTAATTAAGAAATCTAATTTTATTAGTTTTATAAGAAATGGTTTTTTAAGATCGATATTCAATAGATCTTTAAAAAATAAAAACTTCAAATATCTTGGTTTATTTATATCATAGATGTAATATAACAGAATATGTCAAAGTAAAGGTAAATTGATTGTAAAATTTGAACAGAATTTTACCATGAGGCAATATCTTTCCCAAACTATGCAATTTGAAATTTTTTAGGAATTTATTTAGGCTATGTGGAGTACTATAATTGAAGTGGCTATGATTAATTGACTTCCAATTTATTTTTACATACAGAATCATACCTATTTTATTACATAATTACAATAAATTATTAAATTCATTTTTTGTAATTAATTGAGTTTCTTTCAACTATATTTATAAAGTAATTTTATCAAAAGAAAAAAAATTAACAACTTTTAGAAATTATCTATTTTTGGTGTTTCTATACTATTTACTAATCAAAACTAGATTAATTACGATTCCTCATCTAAAATTTCATAGAAACCTGTTCAGATAATATTTATTTAGTCTTCTCTGTCGCATTTGGGGAGAACATATTGAATCTATTCACATTTATAACATCATGCCTTAGTATTTTAAATTTTTTTTAATTTTAGCTATAATTCTTATGAATTCTTTATAATTAGAGAATTAAGGACTTACCGAAAATGTTGTAGAACTATGTGATCAAATTTCTTCGGGCATTTGGAGTGAAGTATCTGATATTTAAATGTAGTTTTAAGAAATATTTCAACAATTGAATTAATAAGATTAAAAAAAAACATGTAAATAACAATAAAAACTAAATAGAATGGCGATTTGAAATGATAACTTAAAAACTACTAGAATTAAAAGTAAAAAATGAAGGAAATACAAGATGATAATGAAAAACCCTTCATTAATTTGAAAACCTATTATGATTAGCTTGATTATTGTTACGAATTTTCCTTACAAGATAGAACCTAAGAAAAATTATTTGGCTAAACAATGTAAAATTTAAAATTTAGTGGATATCAATTTTTATAAACTATTATGTTATTTTGATTCGTAATGTTATCTTATAATATTTATATCCTCGGTAAGTTTCTTCATCATCAAGATTTGAATAGATAAATATTATAAAAAATATAAAGAATTTAACTCTATTAGTTTTATATTGCCTTCTTCTGCTTTTTAACTTATTGTCTCATTAATTAAAAATAAGATGAATAAAAATTGAAAAACTTTCAATATGCCCTTTATACAGCCATGTGTGTGTTTCTATATCTCCCATCAAAAACGAAATGATATGATCGATTATTACTTCTAACATTTTATTGATGTGGGAATTATGAATACATACAATTATTTGTTATCAATTAGATTCCAAAGCATATTTAGATGTTTGATAAATCACAATAAACTGATCGCAAAAAGCCATTGTTAAAATTAAAATTATCCCTCAAATCAAAGTTGAGGCCTTCGAATAAAATTTTTTTCATTGTTTTATTATACAGTTACAATGAATTTTTATAATGACGAAGTATTAATTTCTTTAGGGGGGTCCTGAATATTAATAAAACATTTTAAATCATAGTGTTGGATTAATTCTTAATTAAATTGTTTTTTAAATATGCTAAATCAGCTCAACAAATAAAAATTCTTTCTAAGAGGAGGGGGGTGTGGAATGTCAGTTTCTAATGTTGGTTTACAATCAGAAAAAAATGACATTCATGCTGATATTTATGATTTCTTCTCATAATTCAATCACTATATTTAGATTATAGAATCTAAGGCTTCTGTTGCAGCTAATTAATAGGAATCATCAGAAATAATGATAGCAATACGATGGTTTATTTTTCAAGAGGAAAACATCTACAAAATCAATAAGAATAAATAAAGTGTTAAGAAGTCATACGACTTAGTATTGGATGGAATTAGACGTTTATTGATAAGCTGTTAGACCTACATCAGATCAGATTCCTTTAAATGCTTGTACATATTATAGATTACAACATCCCTATCTAAAGTAATATTCAGTTTCCATTTAATGAATGATGAGAGATTTATGAAATGTGAAACCTAAAATTCTTTTCTGGAAATTTGTGATGAGTTACAATAATAAATGGAAATTGAAAGGATTGATTTAATTTAAAATCAAATTGAACTATTTCTTTTCTTAACCAAAACTTCTTTTGAGATTGCTCCAAATAATAGTAAAGAAAAAGAAGAAATATTAAAAGGATCCTTAAAAGGCATAATAAGTTCTATAATCAAACTGAGCCCAGATGCTGAGCTAATAGAATCATTATTTAAGGGAGCCTGCCTACTTTACAAAATGCAAGATATTTCTAAAAAGCGAAAATAATATGAAGTTTTTTATCAAATCGATATGTTGTTATGGGAGGTAATAAATTATTTTAAAAACAAAAAATATAAAAGTCTACAAGAAATAATTTTACAAATTGAAGCAATATATGAAACTATAGTTAGATTTTCAAAAAATTGGAGGGAACATTATATATGGATCTAAATGATTGGTAAAATATTAATCTTTAATCCTTTACTAACAAAAAAAAAATTCAGTTAGCTGAATAACTCTTTAAATTTTGGGGGAAAGTCAATTAGTTAGATTTGGAAGGATTATCATAATAGAGGATTATTAATATAAATAAATCGTAGTAATGATTTAGCTGTTATCTAGCTTAATTAACTTTAAAATAATAAAATAATGTAACTTGATAGTCTAATGTTAGAAGACATTTTCAAAGGATGGGAAGACTTTCTCATACTTAAAAAAATTTTAATAAATGAATAATTTGAAAATAATCTATATACATTCAGTTCATATCTAAAACATAAATTTGATTTATTTAGAGAGGATTCCTAAAACTAAGTAAAAATTTTGACTACCGAGAAAATGTAAAAGCTTTTAAATTTTGTTGCTCCAACTAGATTAATAAACTTAATAAAAAAAAATGATGAGAAACTGGGAGAAGTAATTAAAATCTAGAAGTAATTGATGGATGATGAGTAAGTTAATACAAGGCTATTATAAAGCACTATTCATTCTTAAATCAAAAGAGTAATTTGCAATTTAGAAGAATATTTACAAAATACACAATGTATTCTAAAAATTGTTAAACTTAATTAGAATAACAATTACTTTCAGGCTGAATAGTTCAAATAGGAAAAGATAAACATATTGAATAGTTTATACTAACTTAAATATTTGATGAGATTATTAGAATAAATATTATTATAAGCAATTTAGGAAATTAAAGATAAAAAACAAAATCCATTCTGTATTCAAAATTGCGAAACCGATGAAAGTAAACAGCTTTAGCAATAGAAAGAGTTTATTTTGGTTGCATTCCAAAATCTAAATCTGAAAGATAAACAATTTTCATTTATCAAGTAGTTATAATAGAAGCTTCTTGCCTTATCAATTACATCTCTTAACTAAACGAATTTTTTGAAAGAGGCTCAGAGTATGTTAAAACTTGTTGAAAATTTACATAAGTAAATATCAAATCTAGAAATTGCATAACTTTAAAAGAACAATTTAATTGAAAGCTTTAAGAGTTTATTGCATAACCTATATTGTTATTATGAAAACTAGAATGAAGAACTTCAAAAAGATTATAATGAACTCATTTTAAGCCTTAAGACCATTCTAATTTTCTAGTATGAAATAGAGCCTTCTTCTTAAATTGAAGAATTTGAAAAAATTAAATAAAAATTGTCTAATATGCTACCAGTTTAACTTATATATAAATAAAAATGGAAGAATTAAAAGCTTAAATTACAGTTAATTGTTTACTAAGAGTCTTTTTAAAAAATAATAACAACACAATCAGAAGAATTTTAATAATTAAATGAAATTATCAATTTGGATAAGTACCTCCTTAATGTAATTTTCAATTATCCCCAAAAATTAATCGCATGTAATAACTATTATTAAAAATAAATATTACCTGAAATAATAACTATGAAAGCCACAGAGGAAGACTTATAAAATAATCTATGTAAGTATCAAGGAACAATAGAATACTTAATATTTATATTAGGTATAGATGAATAAATTATTAAATTAGAAAAAACAGATTTAGAGTTGATTCAGAAGGAATTTGAAGAATTATTTATAGAAGAATCTAGTTCAATTTCAGTGATAGAGAGAATTATGAAGATTATTGAAGTTATATCAATTGATGAATCAATTAAAAATGTGTCTGATGAAAAATTTAATCAATCAAAATTGATTATAGAGAGAGAGAAATATGAGAATGTTTTATAATAATTAAGGAATGAAGAGAAAAATAAAATTATTTAAAATATAGAACATTTTCAATAATTTATTCATCAAATGGATAAAGTTGTTAAAGTATTGAGGGATTCAGTAAATTAAAATGTATAACTTTTTAAAATACCTATTATTGATTGTTTAAATGACTTAAAACAATTACAAGATAAAATAAAATAAAATAATTATGATGAAGAAGAGAAAATAGAAGAAAGGAATTCCCATTCTTCTTCTGAGTAATAGGATAATTAAAAATATGAAAAAACTGAAATTGCTCTTTAGGATTAATAAAATATTGAAAATAACCTCAATAATCTTTCTGATAAAAAATATCACACTCATTTATAAATCTTAATTAATGTTGTAAAAATTTAAGAGGAAAAAATATCAAAATCAAAGCAAAAACTGAAAAAATTGCTTGAAGAAGTTAAATAGTTTAGAAATAACTCTATTCTAATTCAAAATTATAAAAAGGAAATTTAAGTATAGATGCATATGTTTTTTCTTAATTCTCTCTAAAACTAAATTAGTAAATTTGAACAATCGTATCATACAACAGCTGATTTAAAATAAATGAAAAATGAAAATTTTAAAGAGTATTTTGAAAGAATTACAACTTTATTCTAAGGTGAGGATGAAAAAGATGA